GGCGTGATCGTACACAACTTCCTGTTTTGTGATTGGATCTTTGGGAAAAACTTTGATTTGAAATAATACCTTGAAAACAATGACTGGTTTGTAAACAATGTTGGTGAATGGTTGATTTTTGAAAATTATAAATTTTTTGTGATTTTGAGTTTTACAGCGGGCTTGTGTTATTGATTTTGGTGGGAGTTGGGATTCCTACCTACCTCTTGCAGAGTTTTCCTACAACAACAGCTATCACTCCAACATTGGTGCACCACCCTTTGAGCTTCTGTATGGTCGGAGATGTCGTACCCCAGTTTGTTGGGGGGAGGTTGGTCACAGAGTCATGGGAAGGACTGAGGTAGTCCTCCAAACCATGGAGCTTATCTAACAGATCAGGCAGAGATTGAAGACGGCTCAGAGTCGGAAAAAGAGCTATACCGATCGACATTAATCAGAGTTGGTGTTCCAGGTCGGCGATATGGTAATACTGAAGGTCTCACCCTAGAAGGGTGTGATACGCTTTAGGAAGAGGGGAAAATTGTGTCCCCAGTATATTGGATAGCTCCATGTGATCGTTAGGGTAGGCAGGGTGGCCTACCGGTTCAATTTGCCGAGTGAGCTCGGTCAGATCCACAACACTTTCCATGTTTCGCAGTTATGGAAGTGTGCGTTAGACGATGAGGTAGTGGTTCCTTTGGATGATATCCACGTCAATAATCGCCTGAATTAAATAGAGAGGCCGGTAGCGATAATTGAGAGAAAGATGAAGGTCCTACGCAACAAGGAGATACCTTTGGTAAAGGTTTAATGGCAGCATCGGAAAGGCTCCGAGTGGACCTGGGATCCGGAGGTAGAGATTTGGGAGCATTATCCTGAGTTATTCATAGCAACAGACTTTAAGGATGAAGTCTAGTTCAAGTGACGGAAAATTGTAACATCCCGGTGTTGAGGTAATTTCAATTTTTACCCTATGTATGAATAAATATTGCATTTTAGTCCTTGAGTATAAGAAAGAGTGCAACATGGCCCATAATGGTCATGCGTAAATAATTATGCACTAGTTTAACCTACTAATGTAACTAATTATTACTTCCTAAGGCAGTGTACCTTGTTGAAAATAGAAAAAATCACAAATAGTCGGGTATCGAACACAGGGAACGAAATGATTAGCTAATTTTATCTACTAATTACCTAAATTACTATTTAAATAAGGAAAGAGGGTTTCTCTAGTTTTTCAATACTAGAAACTTAATTACCCAAACTAAACTAACTATCAACTAATGGCACATAAACTAAAACTAAAAGCAAGAAACACAAAAGATGATTCTAACCAAGGTAATTGAGAGACTTTCGTTTAGCATCGATATGCTATTATGGTTGATTTACGGAAGTGCAATGGATTAATGCTTCATTGGTTGCTGATTCCTAAGATAACTAGGTTAATGTTCACTAACCTAATCCTTTAGCACTTAAGTTCATTCATACGGTGATCAGGCGGATAAACTAACAAATTTACTAGTGTTCGGTTCAAGGTAAATTAGACTTATAATGAATTAATTAATTAGGTTTATTAAATCAATTCAATATATGAATGGTCGTCATATATTAGCTCCTACAATTACTTACCCACTTTTCTATTTAACCCTAGGTTTTGGTAAAAACACTAGTCCTATAATTTTGCAATTCAAAAAGGTCATAAGATTCAAGTTCAATCAAGAGTGATGGTCATGCAAACTTAATTAAACTCAACAATAAACAGAAAAGTAGTTCTCATAAGCATAGAAAGGTTCTTTAATAAGCTAAAGTAACAAATAACCAACTATTCATAATCCAAACCATAAATAAAACCATAAAAAGTCAAGCAATCTAATCTAAACGAAAGCCATAGGTTTTTAGCCCATCATTTCAGCAGTAAACACATAAAAACGAAGTTCAACTTAATATTCATGATTAAACACAAGAAGAAAAACATAATAGTAAGTTGTTTTGCCTCAAATCTCTCATATCCAAGCTACAATCGATCTTCTGCAAATCGAAGCTTCAAGTGTGTTCGTGGCCTTCAAAAGGTGACAATAGCTCTTGCAAAAGTTGGGTTTTCGGAGGATTATGTATTCTATTTATAGTTTTCTGGAAGTCGGTCCACCACGTCGTGGCACGTCCACCACGAGGTGGTCTTCTACTTTATAACGTAATACGCAAGTCTTCGAGGTTCGACGAGAAACTTCAAAACACCACGTCATGGTAATGTCACCACATCGTGGGAATGAGCATTTTCTTCATTTTTGCCTTGATCCAAGTTCCTAGCTTCCAGCTTCCTTTTTGCTCCGAGCATGTCTTTTACCACTACAACACAACATACAATAGATTAAGTATCTTTTGGTCTATAAATGGCATAAAATATATGTATAGATATGCACATATCAAAATACCACACACTTATTCTTTGCTTTCCCGCGAGCAAACTGATTTTTATCTTACCAATATTTCACAAAACAACCCATTTAAAACCCAACCATTATCCCAAGACCGCAATGCATGTATTTTTGTCTATGATTCCTAAAAACTTGTCGTTCCAAAATACTCACAATCCTTATGAACCTTCACCCCTTAGCTTATACGACATTCATTTTTTGCAACCCTCTGAATCCATCCCCAGAAATCTTTCTTAACCTCAAAGTATTTTTGGTTAAATAACCAAGCATACATAAATGCTAGAAAGAAATACAACTTTGATACCAGAATGGAGTTCTTTGGAATTAATATCTTCTTTGATATTTTCTTTTTAATTTCTTTAAATTCACCACCTTCTTGTTTGATATTTGGTATCTTCAACTTTTGATTCTTCAAAATTTTTGATTTTTTGATTTTCATACTTTGACAGCTCCAAAATTCTTTCAACTTTTTTTTTTGTAATTTCTCTCTTTTTTTTACTAAAATCCTACATGCTTAAGCAATGAGCTTAACTTCAACCTTTATTGGTTATAGGTATTAATCTAAGTGCAATGACTACATAAGCTCTCCTGGATAGATTTCAGGTACACGCTCCAAAACTTATTACATCATATAAACTACCAGATTATCTTTCATATCTCATGACTTTTCACTAATAATGAGAACCCAAAAATACACTATAGCATGTGTTGGCTTAGGTAAACATTTGGACTCTCATCGTATCATCCCACACCATACTAGCAAAAAGTTTTAATTGGCTAGATTTTCCTAAATTAAACTATTATTTCAATTTTATATGAATGCATATTGTAAAAACTAGCAATTTTGTGATAATGCTAATTTTCAAAAATCAAATGCTTTTTCCTAATGCAATAAACCCCTTACCCCACACTTATTTTATGCAATGCCCCCATTGCATACTATGAAAAACATAAAAGTAAAGATGGAGAAAAAGAAACAGACTCCCCTAGGATAGAAGTTGCAAGGTCAATCATGTTGCTCGTGTGTAGGATCGCTCGCCAATATGTGGAAATATGGAAGTGGTTGACTGATATGGAACTCGTCGGAAAGGCATGGACATTTTGTACTTCATAAGGTGTAGCAAAAAAAATCGAAAAGTGGACTTGAAACAATCACCATGTCATGGTAGGGAGACCACATCATGTTAAGCTGGTGACAAATAATGTGTGTATTCTGTAACGACACCACGTCGTGGCAATTCTGACCATGTAGTGGTGGATGTAAAATGTGAAAATAAGTGCATTTCATAGAAGATTTCTTCAATAAGTTGGTCCCCAATGATGATATGGACTTCTGGAAATGTGACACAACAACTTGGGTGATCAAATTAACGCTCTATACATTCAAATTTGCCTCTCTCGCCGCATTGCTAACCCCTCACTTAAATTCATGAAAGTCTCTCGTGAAAAATACTTCACTCATCAAACTCAAACTTCTGGAAAATCTAGAGACAAAAAACAGTAATAACAAGGAAACAAATAAAACCAAATACTTAAATCCTACAATCACCATCATCGTAGAAAATAGAAAATAGAACAAACCAAACACAAACAAATAACAATAAAATTGTCTTAAATCCACTAACTAAAAAGGACAATTTTACTCATCATCATCATTTCCTCCTCCACTTCCGCCAACTCCTCTGTGTCGCTCCGCCCAAAGCTCTTCCCATGTCGGGATGTTAGGGTATGCGATTGGATACGCACTTGGGCGTTGGATGTTCATATGTTGCATCAAAATGTCGAGGTGCATATTGGTGTAATTAACACCTCATCCCAAGTTGTCTTGATAACTGCACAAAGTAACATTATACAGGTCCATTGGCAACTCATCCTCGGTAGGAATCATGGGTGGTTCTTCTTTCGCATTACCGGGCCTTTGTCTCACTCTCCTTCCTAGCTGGTCCCTTGGGTTATCATTTGGAATGGAGAAGTTCCCAAACCCATTGTCCACCACAATATTTGCTCGTTTGTAAAGAATTGCACTAAAAGGTTTACTATTCTCCACCGTTAGCATAAAAGACTCCCATTTTTTAGAGGACCCCAAACGACCACGCCAACCTTGTGATAAACATGCCACCATACAAAGGTGACCCCAACAATCTTTACCTACCCGGTTTGCTAAAAAGTCAGCCACATACCACGGAACATCAATAAGTACACCCGTAGAAATGAGACTCCACAGATAAAAGGCATCCAAACATGGGAACTTGTCCCCCTCCTACCTTTGGTTGATGGTATTAGTGATCAATTGGTGCAAGAGGCGATGAAGAGGAGACCGAATTTCACTTTCATGGGTTGTCCCTGATTGGCACACACCATTGGCGATGTTGAGCCAATAGTTGCTTCCTTGAATTCTTCACTTGAAGTGAGACATTGAGCAATAAACTCAATGTATGATTCGGTATGAACCTCGGACGAAAGATATCGCTCTATCATCATAGCAAATTTCGCCAAGCTTCATTCTCTTCTTTCAACGCCCAAGCAAAAAGTGATGTTTTTCCTATCATGGACGCCTTTTTTCTCGTGGAAGTGCACCGTGGCTAATTATTCCACACAAAGTTCTTTGTACATAGGTTCTTGGATGTGGAAAAGGTGTCTCCAAGCCATACAAATAAACCGGCCTTGGACTCCGTCAAAAGATTTTGTTAGAAATGGTTCAAGCGCCTCCGATAGGCCCACCTCTTCCATCCAACTCCAGTTAATTTCTGCAGGTATGTGCACCTTCCTTTCTTTCAACCAGGATAGCTTCTCTATCCATTGAATCAACACTTCGGGAGCTACAACAATCAGGAAAGAGAACCACAGGAAGTCAGGACGGCTCCCGGGTTGATTCCTACGACCTCGACCCTGCATTATCTGCAAAAGAAACATAGAAAACCATTCCAATCATCCAATTGAGAGTTAGGAAGAAATTAATTCAAAATAGGTTGAAATAATAGGGACCACGATGAGTCATTGTGGTCGACGAACTGTTCGCAGAATCGGGACTTAAATCGAACGAATGCAAACCATTTTAACTCAAATCAAGTTCTGTGTTTTACTTAGGCCATAAAAATACATGTTTTAAAGTAAGATTCATAACAAAAACAACCAATATCAAGCCTAAATTGAATCATTTTTCGAAATCCTAACTAACTAAATCCCTAAATAAAGGTTCATATCAGCGAATTCAAGCCATAGATGCAGTAATACTCGATTATTAACTGTGAAAAGCACTTAAAAATCATACCTTTTGTTGGAGAAATTCGAAATTGGAAGAAAAGTTGGATGAAGGATTTGTAGGAGCCCAAGCACATCGTGAGTGAGGATGAAGTGTAAAAAGAAAAGTTCACTTCTTTAGGTTAAAAACACTAAAAATCGACTGTGGTGAACAGTTAACACGTCGTGGTTTGGGCACCACGTCGTGGTGTTTTTCCGAAATCTGTTCTATCGAGTTCTATGAAGTCACCATGATGTGGTGTATGATTCCACTTTGTGGTAAATAAAATTATTTGTGTTGGGCAAGTTTTTCAAAAAAACTTCCACCCCATACTCATTCCATGCTTGCCCTCTAAAGAAAATCCACATAAAAATTCAGAGGAGTGAAAAATCGACAAAACAAATCAAAATAAGAAAATAAAAGAAAGTAAAGCAAATAAAAGAAGGAAATAAAACAAAAACTCTAAACCACAGGTTGCCTCCTACAAGCACTTCTTTTTGGGGAGTCGTGAGCTGGAATCCTTCCCGCTCTATGTTGTTGTGGTTACTGTAAATTTCAAGGTTTCTCCTTTAATTTCCTCAATTGGCATCTCTTCCTCATAATGCTTTACCCGATGTCCATCTCTCGCTCGAGCACTTGACCACTCATCCCTACTTGTTTATTAGAATCCTAAGGATTCTTACTTGGATTGCATACAGACCCGGTGCTTTCAGTAGTACGGGCCCAATACTACCTTCCACACCAACCTGTAGTCACCCCAAGTCCTCCTCCTAGGGTCCTAATTCACAAATACTCTATATCTCAAGAATCACAGACTACTCTCTCAGTAGAACCCCCTCAAGCTCATCTAGGTATCTCTTCCTAGATTATCTCCCGACTCAGAACTCAGCACATCCTCAGAGCAAATAGCAGATAACACTGATCAAAAAGCATCTCCTAGGCTAAGGCATCACAAATCAGGCAACTCTAGCCCTAGAATATGAAATACCTAGCCTACTTTCTATCATGCAATTCTAATAGAATATTTCATAAATATCTCATAACAGAAAAGTAAGGGTATTTTGGGAAATCACCGTTCGGGCTCTGGCTGATTGTACACAACGCTCTAACTCGTTTTCTCTTAAAACTCTTTCTCATTTTAGAAAAATCTTTTCTTTTGAAATTTTTTCTCAAATCCTCAGTTTGATTGCAAACACACCCGGAGGTGCATCCGAATCCCTCAAACCAAGGCTCTGATACCAACTTGTAACACCGTAAATTTTCAAACCAAATTTTTATTCATTTTCAAAAACAAATAAACACATGTCACATTTCTCAAAAATCTCAAGTATCAAACATCAACACATTTTTCAAAAATGTCTATCACAAATCCAGGATCCTCCAAAAACATATCTCCAAAGCGAGTGTGTGTACAATCAAGTCGGGGCCTTCCCGCGATCCTCGGAAGTACCAGAAACACATAACATATAACGCGGTAAGCACGAAGCTTAGTGAGTTCCCCAAAATACCACACATATCACGTTAGCCACTCGAGGCTAACTCAATACGACCCTCCGGTCAATGTGTTCTAGTGGAGACCCTCCGGTCCCACACTCGGGTGGACCCTCCGGTCCTAACTCAACAAGCTCATAATAATAATACTTAGCATAAATCACAAAGACATAATGCAGAATATCACAATACACAGATAAGAACATAAGACATCTCAGTCACACAAAGATACCACTCATGGTAAGTATAGTGAGAAGACTCACTTTGCAAGAAATTGGCTAATATCGAACTCCAATCATCGGTCTAGCCTCCGCCTAACACATACGGCAATTATCCCTAATTAATCACGGCTCTCAAGAAGCTACACTAACCCTTCTACAAACTCACAGAAGGTTAAAAGACCATTTTACCCCTCAATGGAAATAGTTGTCCACAAATTGACCAAACCCTAAAAGTCAACCAAAAGTCAACGGTAGGGAGTACGCTGCGCGTACCAGCTCTCTATGTTGGGCGTACTCAGCTGCCATGCAGGCATCAGGGATGCACGACCCCTACGCTGCATGTATTATGATTCCGCCCAACATACATCCCAGTTTCACTCTACTCGCTCATTTGGTCTTAATCCGTTAAGACCTTGGCTCAAATCACAGATCTGGACTCCCTAGCAGCTTTTACTCCATAAAGTCAATGACTTTAAGCCTTTGCATGGCTGATATGGTAACAAACACACAAAACATCAACTCTCTTAACTCAAAAGGCTCATATCTCATGCATGGCTTGATTCCAACATCCAAGTCTGGATTTTTATGACACTTCACCACTAAATATACTCAAAGGGGGTTGATCATAGTCTATGGAGTACAATATCTCGTAAAGTCTCCAACTTTTGGGACAAAACCCTAAAACACTCTACTATGATGCCCAAAACAAAAAGAGTGGGAAAGCTTGAAGCTTTATACCTCTATGTGGAGCTCCCAACATAGATATGCTCATATCCAAGGGCCTGGACTCTCACTCCTTCTTCTCCAAAGCTTCTTCTTCACTTCAAGAACACACAAGGACTCTCAAAGGCTCTCAAATGCACTCACAAGCTCTAGGAATGAAGGTTTAGAGCATAAGAGGGTTTGTTGTCTGAGAATGGTGGCCAGGAATGAGGCCATCATATCCTTTATATAGGGGACTCACCATAAATTAGGGTTTTCACTCTGGGCCTAGTACACCCAGCGTACTAGGTGGCTTTCACGTCAAAAGCACGCACATGAGTATGCTGAGCGTACACTCTTGTATGCCCCATGCACTCATTCACCACCTTTTCTCAAAAAGGGCTAAAATGGAAAAGTACTCAAAAGACCAAGGGTTACAAGGTATACATGGACTTGGGATGTTACAATTCTCCCCCACTAGAATCAGACTTCGCCCTCAAAGTCATGCTCAACAAATTACCCTGGATACTGCTCCCGCATCTCAAACTCCGGCTCCCAAGTCAACTCGGACCCTCTCCGATGTTGCCACTGAACCTGAACCATGGGCACCTCTTTGTTCCTCAGAACCTTCAACTTTTGATCCAAAATCGCGATCGGTCTCTCAATGTAATTCAAGCTCGCATCCACCTGAATGTCCTCTAGGGGTACCATTGCCATCTCATCGGCTACACACTTCCTCAACTGGGACACGTGGAAGGTGTTATGAATCTGACTCAACTCTGCAGGTAGCTCCAACCGGTATGCTACCCTACCCACTCTGGCGGTCACTCTGAAAGGACTGATGTATCGGGGACCCAGCTTGCCCCGTTACCTTAATCGGATCACCCCTTTCCATGGGGATACCTTCAGGAGGATAAAATCTCCAACCTGAAACTCTAGTTCGGATCTTCGCCTGTCTGCATAACTCTTCTGGCGACTCTGAGCCGTCAGTAACCTCTGTCTGACCTGCTGAATCTTCTCAGTCGTCTTCAACACTATCTCAGTGCCACCCATCACTCTCTGCCCCACTTCTCCCCAACAAATGGGAGTCTGACACCCCCTCCCATATAGAAGCTTAAAGGGGGGCATACCGATGCTGGAATGGTGGCTGTTGTTATAAGAAAACTCAGCCAAGGGCAAATAAGTGACCCAACTTCCTCTGAAGTCCATCACACATGCTCGCAGCATATCCTCAAGCATCTAAATCATCCGCTCGCTCTGCCCGTCTGTCTGCGGATTGTATGCGGTACTGAAATGCAGACGTGTGTCCAACTCCTCATGAAATTTCTTCCAGAACCTGGAAGTAAAGCGCACGTCTCGATGGACACTATCGAGGTCGGCACTCCATGCCAAGCTACCACCTCTCTCACATAAATCTCAACCAGTCTCTCTGCAGAAGAGCTCTCACTAATAGCAAGGAAGTGAGCACTCTTCGTCAGCCGGTCCACAATTGGTAACTTGGTGATAAAATCCATAGAAATATGTTCCCACTTCCACTGGGGAATCTCCAAAGGCTGCAATGGACCATGTGGTCGCTGGTGCTCTGCCTTAACCCGGCGACAGGTCAAGCACCTTTCTACAACCCATGCCACGTCTCTCTTCATACAGGGCCACCAATAGTCTCTTTTCAGGTCCAAATACATCTTAGTGGCCCCTGGGTGGATCGAGAATCTCGATCTATGCGCCTCCTCCATCAATAAACGACGAGCTCCACCTGTATAGGTCACCCAAATCTGCCTGTGGAAGGTCATAAGCCCACGACTGTCCGTCACAAACTCGGACACCTGCCCAATCACACGCTCTCTCTTGCGGTTTTCCGGCCTCACCGCCTCCACCTAATCCTCTTGGATGGTATCCAAGACTGGAGTCATCACCGTCATCCTCATACACACATCCCGGATCAGAGCGTACTCGGTTCTACGACTCAAGGCATCGGCTACCACATTAGCCTTGCCTGGGTGATATAAGATCTGACAGTCGTAGTCTTTCACCACATCCATCCATCTCCTCTGTCTCATATTCAGATTGGGCTGATCCATCAGGTACTTCAAGCTATTATGGTCTATGTATATGGTACACCGGACACCATAAATATAGTGGCGCCAAATCTTGAGGGTGAACACCACCGCCCCTAACTCCAAATCATGGGTGGGATACCTAGTCTCATGAGGCTTCAGCTGCCTCGACGCATATGCTATCAC